TTATGTAAAGGTGCAAATTTCCAATGATGAATGTCATTATATTGTATACCTAAAATGTACCAATAAAATAATATTTAAAAAACAGAAAAAAACAGCTGGCACGAGTGCCATAGGTTCACTACCACTGGGATAGGTTATAGTAATTCACATTCCTTCTAGTGTTGGAGAAGTGTATCATCTCTCCCTTTCATGGATAGACAGTTTCCTCCACTATTGTCAATCTACTTTTGTTTTTAAGTTATGATCTTTCTATGTTGCCCAGGCTGTCCTTAACTCCTAAGCTCAAGGAGTCCTCCTGCCTCAGCCTCATGAGTAGCTGGCACTGCAGGCATGCTCCCCTGAGCCCAGGTACTCAGTTTTTTTATTTGGTATTAATTATTTATGATGCTGACCATTTTCATGTTTATTAGCCATTGTAGCTATTGATCATAAATACAGAACTCACTGTATGATAGATACTTCAGAAATTGTTCCCTGTTCATTAATCAGCCTTTTCAGTGGTTTCTTTTGTTTTCTTTCCAGGAGCGACTGAAGCTGGTGACTGTTTTGGGTGCTGGCCTGCTCTGTGGAACTGCACTGGCGGTCATTGTGCCTGAAGGAGTACATGCACTTTATGAAGATATTCTGGAGGGTGAGAAAGAGCCTTATTTGAGACAGGTTACTGGAGGGCTGTCAGGCGAAGGTAGCTTAGTGGTATTTTAGATCTTTTGATACTTTTGACATTGAACACATCCTTAGCAGTTTGTGAATTCAGTGCCCCAATTCATGAATACCAGTTACTATTTATTTGTAATAACAAATAAATTCCAGTCATTTTAATTATAACAGTTCTTTTTTAATGCCCACTCAGAAACCCCCCAAATCCCACCTGATAGGGGTTTTAGCTTTGTGTTCTTTAATTAAGAAAATATATAGATAAACTGTGTAGATAATTAGTGACAACCTAGTTGGTAAGAACAATTACAAAATTAAAGAGGCCTTTCCTTACCCCAACATTGAATGGAGAGAACAGTACTGTGAGAGGGTAAGTGCTCAGTGGTCAGCTTGGTTCACTCTCCACCTGAGTGATTGGGTCTTTCATGGCAGCTTGAAAATCTGCTTGATTCACATTTGTGACTTAGCAAAAGTGCTTACTGAATGTCATGAAATTTTACAGTTACCCGTGAAGGATTGAAACCACAATTGTTAAATCAGGGAGCTGAATCCTCAAATGCCAATATCTGCTAGGCTTTAACAATAGTGTGAAGGGGTAGGCACCTTCCAGATTTCTTGCTAAGGACAGTATAATAAATACTTTCTTAGATCTTAGTAAAGAAAAAGAACTACATCCTTTATCTACAGTGATATTGTTCTTATTCCTGGAGTATAAATATGGGCATAGTGGTATTTTGTGGGCAAAGCAGTGGCAGATGTTATATATGAAGACTGTGGAAGTCTTATTGAAAAACAGGACAGGGACCGAGAATTGGTTAGCTTTAGAGGAAGCTATCAGAAGTCAGGAGCCCTAAAGCAGTGACTTCTTCTTTTGGTCATATATCCTACTATGGGGAAAAATGATTTACATCACTATTACACTGAACTGTGCATTTATAAAATGCACTCCTGAAACAAAAATTTTTAAGTCTGAGATTTAAAGTAAAAATATGCAGATCAGTATTTGTTTTCATATTTTGTGGATCCACTTGAATTTTTCTGGGATGTGATTATTCTACTGTAGAAATGACTATCCTGGTGTTCTAGAAAACATTTAGAACAAGCTTGAATAGATGATTTAAAATGTTTTTACTTGGCTTTGGAACTAAGAAAGAATTAAGAGTGGCAGTTGTTACCTACACTTGTGTGATAATGAAAATTCCTTTGGGGAGGGATTCCTTTTATAAGTACAGGCAGTTTCTTGGCCTCCAACCTAGCCTACTGAATCAGAGTCTCCAAGGACAGAACCTGGGAATATATATTTTAACACATTGTCTGATTCTTACCAGACAAGTTTAGGAAACACTGGGATAGAGGAATGAACTACTTCAGGTATAGTTTGGTGTGTGTGTGTTTTAATAACAATCTGAAATATAATTCAGACCCCATATTCTGGGAATAGTTTTAAGGTTTAATTTAGCTACTATGTCAGGTTGCATTCCTTTATTTTTAGTTTTCCTGAATTTTGGCCCAAAATAATTTTGTGGATTCATTTGAAAACAGATTACAAAGTGCTTAATAGACCTGCTTTTCTAAAAATAAGCATATTAGGGCTGGGGATATAGCTCAGTGGCACTGTACCTGCCTGGCAAGCACAAGGTCCTAAATTTGATTCCTGGTACCAAAAACAAAACAAAACAAAACTATTAGTCTTTCATCTTTCATCATAGATTAGTTTGCAGCTCTAAGTCATCATTTAATGTATGTTTGTTTCTTTGTACTGTGGATTGAACCTGTGGTTCTTTATCACTGAGCAAGATCCCCAGCCTTTTTTGGTACCAGGGATTGAACTCAGGTCCTTGTGCTTGCGCAGCAGGTGGTGAAACCACTAAGCTAAATCCCCAGCCCTAAAATTTTGAGATAGGATCTCGCTGACTTGCCCAGGTTGGCCTTGTACTTGAGATCCTCCTGCCTCAACCTCCCAGGTAGCTGAGATCACAGGCATGAGCTACTGTGCCTGGCCTATCATTTAAATTTTTGAAAATTATTTTTACAGGGCTGGGGATTTAGCTCAGTGGTTGCGCCACCTGCCTCGCAAGTGCAAGGACCCGAGTTCAATCCCTGGTACCAAAAAAAATAATTACTTTTACAGGCTGGGGATTTAGCTTAGTGGCACCATGCCTGCTTCACAAGCACAAGGTCCTGAGTTCGATCCCTGGTACCAAAAAATATATATATATTACTTTCACTTATATGTTTTACCTTTACTCTTTTGATGTAGGTATCCATGAGTTTTAACAAATGCATAGAGTCATATTACCACTGCAATCAAAACAACACAGTTCTATCACCACCACCCCTCACACACACACACAGAGTTGACAAAAGGATTTTTTCTTCACTTAACCCCTGGCAACCAAACCTCTTTTCTATTGTTATAGTTTTGCCTTTTCAGAATGTCATATAAATGGACTCATGTAACCTTTGGGTATGGCTTTTATCACTTAGCATAATGTATTTGAGAATTATCATATTCTCTATCAGTAGTTTGTGCCTTTTTATTTCCGAGTAGTATTTTGTTGTCTGGATGAACCATATTTGGCTGTTCCTTCACCAGTTGGAAGACATAGGGGTTGTTTCCAGTTTTGGTGATTGTGAGTTGAGTTACAATGAACATTTAGGTCCAGGTTTTTGGACGAATGAGTTTTACTTTTCTTGCATAAATACTTGTAGTTGGATTGCTAGGTCATATGGAAAGTATATGTTTAATTTCACAAGAAGTAGACAAACACTTTTCCAGTAGCAGTACCATTTTGCATTTAGTGGTTTTTTTGTGTTTGTTTTAGTTTTTTGTTTTTAGCATAATAGGTAGGTAATGGTATCTCAATTTGATTTTAATTTGTTTCCCTTATGACTAATGATGTTGAACATCTTTTTGTGTGCTTACTTGCATTTGTTGTATCTTTACAAGTGATACAGAATCTTTTGCCCATTTTAAAAATTGGGTTTTCTCATTGACCTTTGGTAGTTCTTTATTAGATATATGATCTGCAAATATTTTATCCTTATCTGTTCATTGTCTTAACAGTATCTTTCACACAGCAGTTTTTAATTCTGATGAAGTTCAGTTTGTCAGTTTTCTCACTGGTGAATTATGCTTTTGATGTTTTATCTAAACCCTGCAGCCAAATTTACAAAGATGTTTTCTTCTATAATTTTTATAATTTTAGGCTTTATATTTAGCTCTATGGCTCACTGTGATATAATTTTGAGCATAATATGAAGGGTTTTTTGTGCATATGGATGGATGTGCAGTAGTTCCAAAATGATTTGGAATCAGAAATGGAAAAGAGCACCTTTTTCTATTGAATTGCTTCACACCTTTTTGAAAAATCCACCCAACATGCCAGGCACGGTGATGCACGGCTGTAATCCCAGCACTCGGAAGGCTGAGGCAAGAGGATCACAGTGAGTTCGAGGCCAGCCTGGGCTACACAGTTGAGTTCAAGGCCAGCCTGAACTACAAAGTAAGACCTCGTCTCAAAAAAAAAAAAAAAATCCATCAAACATATTCATGTTGATCTACTTCTGGATTTTCCATTCTATTTTGTTGATCTGTATGTCTGTCCTTTACCAATACTACATTATCTTGATGACTGCAGCCAATAGCAGATCTTGAAATCGAGTAGTAGTGAATCTTTCTAACTTGTTCTTACTATTCAAATTTGTTTTGGCTTTCCATGAAATCTTTTGTCTTTCCATAAAAATGTTAGTTTGTCAAAGTCTACCAAAAAAATTCATGCTGAAATTCTGATTGAGTTGAATCTATGAACTTAAGAGAGAAGTGATATCTTAAAAATGTGATACTTTCGGCCAGGGATTTGGCTCAGTGGTTTCGCCGCCTGCTGTACAAGTGCAAGGACCCGTGTTCAATCCCTGGTACCAAAAAAAAAAAAAAATGGTACTTTCTAATCTGTGAAGCTGTCTCTCCATTTATTTAGGTCTTTGATTTCTTTCATTGGTGTTACAGTTTTAGCATACAGATCTGCACGTGTCTTATTAGATATATACCTAAATATTTCGTGCTTATATTGAAATTATACATGATACTTAAAATTTTTAAGATTTCTAGAACTATAATCTGTAGAAATTTGCTAAATTCACTTCTTAGTTATGGATGCTGTTTTGTAGATTCCTTGGGAATCTACATAATCTATGGGTTGAGACAGCTTAATGTTTTCTTTCCAATCTGCCCTTTCTTGCCCTGTTGCTCGGAGTGGACTATCCAGTATGAGGCCGAATAGAAATAAAAGCTGGACCTCCTTGTTCTCATTCAGTCATTGACCATTAAGTGTGATGTTAGCTATGGCTTTTTTATAGATTCTCTTTTTTCAGATTAAGGAAGTTCCATTCTATTTCTAGTTTACTGAGAGAATTTTCATGAACGGACATTAAGTTTTTTATCAGATGCTTATTTCAGTCTGTTAGACTTGAATATAGTCCCTCCCCTCAGTTGATATATAGTATCCTTTTGTGTGCTATGGGACCCAACTTGCTAGTTACTTTTGAAGGATTTTTGTGTCTTTATTCATCAGTAATATTGGTCTGTGGTTTTCCTTTCTGTGTCTTTGTAGTTTTGTTGTTGTTTGGGTTGTTGTTTTTAATCAGGGTGATAGCCTCTTAAGTGTAGCTGGGAAATGTTCCCATCTTGCTTATATTCTGGAAGAGATTTATAGAAACCAATGATATTTTTTCTTAGTATCTGGTAGAATTTACCATCTAGATCAGGAGTTTCCTATATTGGAAGGTGTTTGACTATAAATTCAATTTCTTTACTAGATATAGGGACTGTTCCAATTACCTGTTTCTTTTTGAGTATGCTTTGAAGTTGTACCTTTCAAATAATTTTTTTTTCCAGGCTGAAGAATATATGGGCATGAAGTTGTACATAGAAATTCCTTAATGCTTAATGTCCTTCTAATTATAATTAGGTCTCCT